GTACAGCAAAACAGTTGGTGTGGCTTAACAAAAAGAGTGAGTCATGTCTCTCACTGGGGCCCCAGGCTTCAGAATGCTTGAGAAGCAAAATTCCCCGACCAGTTTCATGCCAGCAATACAAATCCAAAAGCAGGTTTCTAGCAGAAGACCGTAGAGATCTTTGGCAGTCACTACAGACACAAAAGGTATTGGTAACAGTGATAGTTATGATCTGCAGTTTCTTAACTTGGAATTAAGAAATACGCCGGACAAATTTTGCTACTGCTACTGTGTGACAGTAATAAAGATCAGCGTTCCCTTTTTACAGCAGGATACTCTAAATCATTCTCATTTTTATAAAACATCACCCTCTCATTACCTTTCACTTGAAGGATTCAGAGTATTTATTTCACAAAGGTTGAACCTTATTATCTTAAGTGACTGAGAGCTTCCCCTCTTCATGCTCACAGGCACAAAAACTGGACTCTCTCTAACTGACTCCTATTTCCAAGTTATGTTAGTAGCAAAAATCATTCTGACATGCTTGGTCCAAGTCTGCCAGGGAGGGGAACGGATTCAGCCCATCTAATTTTAGGCACATACATCTGATCTAGCAAGACCCTTTTTGTCATCAGTGGGGAGAAAAACACATATCTAGAACACAGTAAACCCTATCCCTATGCCAATGTCAAAAATAACTCTGAAGATCTCAAATACCTTGTTGTTTCTCGGTGCTTTTGCCAATACATATTTACTCAACTATTCCCATATCTTACACTTAAAAGTCGAACTATTCATGGATGGTGAAATTTTTTGCAGTGTGTTCATCCAGTGCACAGCCCAACAACTAGCATTCACAGACACTACAACGTTTGAAATAAAATGCAAGCAGAAAGGAACTAAAGATATCAGGAAGCAAAGGATTTCTAACTCCTTCCAAGGTATTGAGAATGACAGTTCTGTGTGATTAGGGCAAAATTTCCAGAAAAACAGATGGTTGTGATTTGAAGGTTTTAAGGGATGGAGGACCTACACATGTGTCTCCCACCCCAAGGCTTTATGTTGGCCTTGGATTAATCTTCTCAGGTTCCCAATTTGCTCTCCAATTTTAAGAACACCGTAAAGTAATACAGACACCACAACATGTTATCACGCTCAGATATCACTTCTATAATAAGACCCAAGTTACGTTAACCCTACCACCACAGGATTACAGTAAGAAGAACACGTATTTGTGCACGTGGTTTCCTAAAATATTCTCCAAACAACTGAATTCCAGGAGGCAGGTGACCATGGTATCAGCACAACCTGGATGCTTCGACGCAAAATTTAAGGTCTTGCACATAGTGGTTTTTGGTGGGGGTTTTTTGAGCATTTTGACACATTCTGGAACTCAGCAAGTCTTCTAAGAGACTTAAAAAAAAAAATCATCAGTGAACTAATTGTTTTTCCAGCTAATTCTTGTAGGTTTTTTGATGCAATTTATCTTTATATTGAGTATATACCAACACCTTTTCCAATTAAGACAACATTCATTACGCTGAACATAGTATCATTTCCTGTCCACTGCAAGACAGACACTGCTATCAAGTAGTTTTGCACTATTTTCAGTTTTACCATCTCTGCTAAGCAAGAACTAGATTTATATAATTGCCAGACTTCACTGATTCCTAGTTACAGTAGTAACTTTAAAGGAGTAACTTTATGCTTGTCCTTAGCATTACTTTTAGCTAACTCATAAGTGTTCTAAGCTTCATTACATTTAACTTATCACTCTCAGTCTGCATCCCTGTACAGATCAACGAGTAGTCCACAACACTGTGACTCACAAGCTGAGAACCACTGAACTGCAGCATTAAAAATAGGAGGAAAAATCAAGCATGGCAGTCAGAGCCAGATGTAACACTTGTGTTTGGGAGTGAATTTAGTGTTGATTCACCTGGTGAGGTGTAGCTTTCCACACTATCTTTCACTACAGTTAAGTAACAGTGCTGATTGTAATTGTTTTTCAATGTTTATAATGTTGCCAAGACCTACCATCTTGCATATATGCAATATGAAATACCTGAGAAGCTGATTTCAGACAAATAGTTCTGCTTCAGGGAAAATACCCTCAGGTCTGGTGTATTTTAAAATATATTCTTAAGCAAATCTCATAGCTCTGTGCTTTGGACCAAGGACTTCAAATTCACCCAGAGTTTTAAAAAAAATGTGCATTTTGTCCATGAGAAAGGGAACGGCAACTTCTGACAACATTAAAATAGAACTGAAAGATCAGGTTAAAGATTAGAAATAAAACATTATTCAGCAACATATTTGCCCATCAAACATCAAGTCAGTGTTAACTGTCTTGTTCACCATTGTCACATCAATTATATTTTTACAAATTTCATAAAATGGTAATAGAATGAACAAATCAGTGAAAACATCTATAGCTACAGAAACTTCTATTCTCCTTAGTAGACAGAACTAGAATAAGTATTGGTCAATGGCAACTAGAATTGACTGAATTCTTAAATCTAAAACATAAACTCTATTTTTAAGAAAAGAATTAGGCTTAACTTACACAGAACAGTATCAAAAGGAGACCAAATCAAAGTTGAAATAACAGTGCTGTCAAATTCTGTTCAAATTGGGCAAGTTCTAAGTCTTCTAATAAAAAGCGAGTTGAGAAAGTCAGTAATAAACTGATTAAGTCTTAGCAGCTACAACTTTCTAAGGTTCCATCTGTTCTGTACATGTGCCACCCTGGGTCTTTGCCAGATCTGAGGCCTGGGACTCTCTTCTGTATTGTCAGTGACAGGACATCCCTGCTGTGCTCTGTCAACAAAGAAGTAGCGCCTGTTTGAATATGGAGGTGACAAACTTGGAACCGTGTAGGACACAATTGATACAGACAGCCTGGTAAATAGAAACGGAGCTTGCTGGTCAAGAAGAATAGAAAATACGGATGGAAATAAACGGGGCATGGGAATACAGCCAAAGCATTATGTAATAATACCACTAGGGGAAACTAGAAGTGACAACTTTTGGAATATTTGCTGAAGAAGTGAAAACAGAGTGAACACAGTAACAAAGAATCTAACAAACAACATGGAAAAAGCGTAAAAACATTTCAGAACTAGGAATCCTGTTGAAGAATCAGCAAAGACAATAGATGAAGTTATAAGAGGCATGGCATACTCAAGAGAAACACTTTCTCTGCAGAAATATTTTTGTTGGTGTACACCATGAAAAGCATGGTAGAGGGTCTCGCATCAGAGCACTTCTTCATGGAAGACTCAAAGGGTCTGTTTCAAACAGAAATGCTGGTATAACTTAAAAACAGATTAACACTATGAAAAAAAGCTAGTTGCCAAAATGAGAAGGTATTTACTCCTTGAGCTTTGAAGAAACTACTGATGTGACTGAAAAATGTAATAGCAAAACTACTCAAGATCGTATATAATCTCTCACTTAAAACTGCCCTAGTACCAGTAGTTAACATAATCACCATCTTTAAGAAGTTTCTAAAGCAGATCAGGGAACTATAGACGAGTAAGCTTAGTATTTATAGTGAATAAAGTGGTGCTAGTAAGTCTAAAACAGTTGGGGAATAAGTGAGTAAATGTGATGTAACATGCAAGAGTTACCAGGGCATTTGTAAAATAGTTACACTTCACAAATCTAATACCACTAAGTAAAAAAGCTCCCAGAAGAGAAAGTGGGTTGACAGCCTACTGAATTTCAAAAAGGCATTCCCAAAAGCCTCTTAAAGAAATTAAGCAACACTAGAGTAACAACTAATGTCCTTTTGTGACCAAATAACTGGTGAAAAGAGAGGAAATAATGGTGGACCCTGATGGCTATGAATGTTATTGAATATTTCCTGTACAAGGAACAAGTAAATAAAATAGAATTCTTCAGCCTAGAGAAGAGGCAGCTGAGGGGAGTCATGCTCTCTGCAGCACTCAGTCACATTAAGAGGAAGCAGTTGTTCCCCACATCTTCCACTGGGACACCTCAGTGAAATCACATGGGAACAGATGGCAAATGACAGGTTCAACTTCAACAAAATATTCCAGGTAACTAAGCTGTAGACTTGTCTGTGGTAGGTTCTTCTGAATGTTAAATGCATCCATGAGCACAGGAAAGACTGGGCAAAATTTCAGAAGGAAAGCGCATACAGACCCACTGAATTCAGCGATGCTCCCTCTGGTTATGGGTGGTTTGAAAACTACCACCATGTGCTTGCTCTGTTCATCTATTTTTCTCCCTGTGCATGTGCTATTTATTGCCTCTGTTAAGAGTCAACAGGCAGAGCTGGACAGCCTCAGCGTGTACAGATGGGTTCACACACGCTGTTAGGTAACAGAAGAGGAAGAGAAACAAGACTGGCTAAAGAGACTAAGGGCACAAAAGACAAGAGACAAACCATTTGCTACAGGTAGTGTAGTACGCAGGAGGGGTGTGCTGGGTATAAGTGGCAATGTTTTGATGGAGGCGGGGGCTGCAGGAGTGAGTGTAACCTGTGGCGAGTGGACTGGAAAAAAAACAAAAAGTGAGAAGAAGTTTCACAGAAGCAAGGGGTATTTCCCCTAAGGGTGTGTGTGTATGTTTCAATCCCAGAATCAGTAATTACAATTTTAATTGACAGTAAAATAATTTAGGAAATTGGGTCCTGATCTGAATAGCCTACCTCTAGTTAACTGAATATTCTAAACCTGTGAGTTATTTTTCCACTTGAATCTCCCGGTTTCTCTTCCTCTCATTGAATAATAAATTCTGTGGTGAATATCAACACCATTATTTTCAAAGCCCCTACAGAAATAGAGGATTCTGTTGTCAGAACTGTGTCTCAGTAACGTTGAGTTTGGGGAATGGAACCTCATACTCTGTTTTTAGTAATGTGACAACTTCTGAACCTCATGTTTGTTTCCATACAGGGTGTAAGCTACTGCTAAATAGGAGTACAAAGAAGGTGGCAGAATGAGTTTCAAAAATGCGTAAAATATCAAAATGAACAAGAACTAACATCTCACCTGTAATAAATATGAGCCAGCAGTATCTGCACTGGAACTCTCATTTTGTATTGTATTCTGTTGGGTAATAGCATCTTCCTTCTTTCGCTCCTTCTGCCCTGCTTCATCATCTTCATACTCATCGAGGCTCTAAAAACAAAAATATTCAGTTATAAAATAGTCTTTGTATGTTGCTTTGCATGCTTCCCACGATTCACAAAATTCATGCAGCAGTGAATATTTTCAAAGATTAATTTAATATTTCAGAAAAGTTTAATCAAACATTTAAAATTTTTTTCCATGGATAGCGATATGTCCAATACAAGAATAAAGTCTGACAACTAACTGCTTTTTCTTAATCACAAAATAAGAAATAATTAAATCAAGATCCAGCATGTCAAAGCTTTAGGCAACGTTGTCCGAATTCAGTGCTAATCCTGGTGAGCAGGAGCTTGGACTGTACCTGAGGTCCCTTCCATTTGAATCATTATACAATCCTGTTTGTCATAAACAATAATTTTACTTCTAAGTAAGAGATATTGAGGAAGTACAGAAAAGGAAAAAAAGAGTTAGTTATACTCTTCACTCAGCAGATGACCTTTTGTGACACAGTGGCATCTGCTGAGATTGAAGTATCAGTCTCAATCAGCCATCTTAATTTTGCTCTCCTTGGTTTTACCTTTGAAAATTTACCATTGGAAATTAGTAATTTACAAATTAATTGGACAGTCATTAATTACTAACAATTAACATATATAACATTTTGGGTCTTCAACACAAATGTTTCATACTAGATTTGCTGAAATAATTGATTCAAAAGGATTACATTTCTAAAGCACTGACTGCTGACAAGGGAGAGACAGGAAAAGTAAATAAATAAATTAATTTAAAAAAATTCAGTAACACTGCCTGTGTTCTAGCTCAAAGCCATGCTGAGGCCTGGGTAGAAATGTGAGGACTCAACCAGCTTTGGACCAAGTCAGCTATGTCTAGATCGGTCTACTAGTTTAACGTACACAAATTTACAGAAAGAAAAAAACCCACAATCTCATGTTTAGAAGACCAACTTGAAGCAAACATGAAGTTCCAAAAAAATCTGACCACATCACAAGTTGATTACCAGCACTCTGCATTAAAACAAGAGGTTTGTGAGACCTAGTTACAAAACCACAGAGAACTAACCATTCTAAGATAGTAGAAAAAGCTTCTAAATTAATGTGCAGTAGGCTTGAGAAACAGAGAACAGCGCTACAAGAAAACGAAGATGAATGTCATATTATTTCAATGGAAGTTTCTAATGCACAAAAACCAAAATCACTATCCTAAGGCTTAGGAACTGACCATCTCTTACATCATCTTATCCAAAGGACACAAAACTAGTCAAAAGCATATAAGAATAATGCTGCAATGTAGTATTTTTTAAAAAAGAAAACCAGTGTTATTCACTAGCTGAAAATAGCACTAATATATAAAAAACTAACTTTAGCTGCTCCAAAGCAACTATGCTGATAGAAAACTGACAAACTAGAAAGGTATACATTTCCAAAAGTGAACATAATAAAGTAAACATAAGGGAACCTCAATAAAGGCCATTTAAATTCTCTGCAGTAGCACTCATGGCAGAATACTAATGCAATTTCACCAGTCTACTTCTAACCAGCATTTTAATGCAACTGATGTAGACCTGTCTACTTCTATCACTGAGAAAAGGCATACTTGAAAGATTACTGCAGCTGAATCATGATACATTAAAAAATACTTACAGTAAGCAGTCTTTTCAAATAACATAATTCTAAACATTTAATTTGGTTCTGTCAGGTCCATTTTTAACAAAGCATTTAAAAAACAGTCACGGCACATTCTAGGAGATGATGGTTAAATCAACATCCTCTAACTTCTACAAACTGTAAAGCTTAAAAATTTTGGTAACATAAACTTAAGTCTGCATCCTAATTTATCCCATTATCCTAATAATCTATTCCGAAGTGACAAAATAAGAAATAATGAGCCACTACTCCAACAAGCAATGGAGTGATCTTCAACTCTCACAAAACCAGCCTTATTCAGAAAGAACTATGAAGCTCACAGAAGGTATCATGTAAATTAAGACTAATGTCATGCAGATGAAGAATGATATCGTGTTAGAAAAACAGGAAAACTTTCAGATTGTTCTTCCAGCCTCCAAGTTGCTCATGTAAGAGAATGAAGATCCCAGATAAACTCAAACAAAAGGGCAGTGTGACATGAATTTGGAAGAGCAGCCTCTCATAAATGTAGAGGAAAACTGACTGGCGACAGAAGAGACCAGTAATCTTCACACACCTCAAAAGCAGCCTTGCGTTTTCAGGGAACAACATTCTTTAAGGAGAAGCTTAAAGCTCAAATTACAGTACTGCAGTCTTTGTAGCAACTGAGTAGACAAGTGCTCCTTTCTTCACAAATTCTCTCCTTCAGATACATGCTCCTCATAAGCTTTCCAGAGACCATCAGCATTCCACAGAAATATTTTTCTCCAAATACAATTACATCTGTGAGGAAGAATGTTCTTCTCTCTTTCGATAAGATCACCTGCTACTAACTGTTCTTTTAGCAGTTTTGGACAGGAACAAAATGTCATCATCTGATACATATTTCCAGCCACAAAATTTTAAACGAAGCATTTTCAGTTAGGGTTTGCCCGTGATGTCCATTGCTACCCTTTCCTTTCTCAAGAAGGTCCAAGATCACAAAAACCTGCTAATCAATACCATCAGAAGGTATTCACCCCCTCCCCCAAATTCATACTTCTGAAGTGAAAGGCTTTCTTCCCAAGCACAGAACAGTTAGCTGAACAGTTTATGTAAATCAAATTTGGAGCATATAAACTCTGCTTTAAAGGCTACCGGGGCTTGCTCACTGGAGCAGGTCTCAAGTCAGCTGGGGCCAACACAAGTTTCAATTGTGAGAACCACAGAAGCAGCAGGTTTTTATTACGTCTTACAGATGAGGTACAAGAGTCATGGACAGGTTGATCTTCACCATTTGCAGCTGACGTGGCACATATGGCTAGCATCGCCAATGCCTTCCTGCCCTAAAGCTGATTACTAGTCACAGTCAAGGACCTTCTGTGGTTTCCCGGGCACAAAGGTTATGTTCCCCTTCCAAACATACGGACACGCACATACGTGCATACTAATTTAAACAATGCCCATGAAATGCCTGCCAAGCACAAGTCAACATGATAGCAACTACAGAATTTTAACATTTTACTGCTTTTTACTAAAGTTACTAAGTTTTGTTTCAGTAACCGCTAGGCTTAATAAGGAAATCCATTTGTTTTGACCCATGATGAAATAAACTTTATGCAAAATAATACTTTACATTCAATATCCTGCTTATGCACTTCTCCATCAACTTCAGTTAGATTGCTAATCTTAACGCTATTTATATGCTAAGCTAACTTTTAAGTTAATAAAAATCAACAAAAGTCAAGTTTCAGTTGACAGAGTAGATATTACTGAAAAATTAAAAAATGTCCAAAGTGTCGTTACACACTTCAAAAATCATTTTTGTTCAAACTGTCCTGCAGCCGAAACTGCCTCAGCCCACAGGCCATTTCAATCAGATGGATTACTGCGTTGCTCGCGTTGCAGGCTTCTCTCAAACACTACACTTTGCTTTAGAAACTAGTTTAGCATCACTGAAAAAGACATAAATGCAGTAATTACTTTCTCTGTCAGCACAGCTGAGAAATGGACTTGTAACCACCGAGGTGTAATTCTGACCCATTATATAATCCTCTCTATCCATTCCCTTCCCCCTGCTTTTTTTATTTTGCTGCTAGGCACATACCATTTCAGATTCTTATTTTCCATTAAAATCATCTGAGTTTTGTACAGCAGATATTCAATGTGACATTCCCACATCTGATCCTAATATAAGGAATCCACAGAAATTCTTTAGGTTTTCTAGCATTTCAGTAAATGTTTGAAGCTGTACTATAAACATTTTTCCGTAAACCTCTAGTATGGAAAATACAAGCAGAGTAAGATGCTTTCAAAAGAATCAGACTGATGAAGGAAACAGCCGCAGAGATATCCCCGCATTCCAGCGCACCACCAGCCCGCAGTTTGAGGAAACATTGTCCAAAGACCATTTCTAACGATCCACTGGTTTGCTTCCTATAAACATTTGTGCATTGCTAAGAACAAACAAAAAATTGGGGAGAGGCTGTCTTTCCCACAAAAACAAGTGGTATTCCTGCATGCAAAAGATGAGTTTCTGAGTGCACACAAGCCGCTCTCACCACAAGAAATGGTGCGCGAGTCGAAATGTCGCTCTCCCCATCCCCCTGCATGCAGCAGCTTGCTTCTGCCTCGCAGTTCCGCTGGCCGAGCACGTATCTAAGAGCTTCCCAGTTCATCTCATGAAAGGTCAGTCAGGTTAGTTTCAGCAGTTTTAATTAGCCCAGTTGATTTTGCCTGAACCAGATGCAAGCCCATTCCAACTATTTATTTCGCTCAACTCCGTTGAACTACATCAGCTTTTTGAAAATGATGAGCACTTGAGATAATCACATATTTAACCAGGACAACAAGATGTGCAAGCAGATACATACTCTCAGTAAAACCCTGTGTTCAGCTTCAACTGGGCAATAAATAGAATGTCTACGACACAAGCACCATCAGTTATCTTGACTTCTTTTTAACTTCTTAACCATGCTAATGTTCTAGGAGAGGAAACAAATCTAGGCTTCTTCCCATTGTCCCAAAACAATTTTCAATAATTAAAAAAAAAAAAAATCAATTTTACCACAAGGACATTTTCCATGTTTAGTAAAGTTCAAAGCGCACTACCAGAATTTCATACCAACATGTTGGAAAAGTGCCAAGGCTTCTATTAAATGTAAACATTTCCTAAAAACTTCCACAGTAGAAATAGGAGATAAAATATAAGAATTCTGTTTTTAACTCTGAAAAAAAATGTCACTAGGCAATTAACTACAACAAAATACATTTTTGGAATCCACATTATTTTTCCCACAGCTGATCATTCAGAAAAGTATAGAAAAATTAACTGCATATAAAAGACAACTATTTTACACACTATTTCTTTATAATCACTCTTCTTACTGCAGCACTGAGAACCAAATGATTCCTTGATTTACCATGTGCAAATACCATCTCCCTACCTCTGTTCACAGTACCAAACCTTTCTGTCATCACCTCTCAAAATACACAGCAAAAACAAGCAAAAATCCCAAACCTCAGTGATTTGGTATTACCGTTTCCCTTCAGAAACACTATTTTTAATCATACTTTTTAAACACACTTTTATTATAATGTACAGGCAGTACCCAAAATATTTAAGTAAAGCGGATTTACAGTAATATAATCTTTTATTAGAACAACAGTGTAATTGGAAAAAGTGCATCTTTTTCGCTATGCAAACCTTTCATCAGGTTTAGCTTGCCTAAGTGCTTTTCCTTACAAGTTGAAAAACATCCTTATAGAGGTGAAAAGAACTAACGTTAATCATAGGAACTATCAAAAAACCTACAAACAGTGCTATGGATATGGATTACTCAGTAAAACATTTTATTATTTTAAGAATACTTGACCTCAATTCTCACATTAAGAGAGTCCAAAAAAGGATTCTGAACTCGAACACCTTATCTGCATGAACTTTGTGCGCTTCTAAAAGTCTACGTATCCAAATGAGGTGGTCCAATATCAACAATTAGCATGATCACAAGCATGGATTTTTAACCCAGAAAAAGAATAAAGGCAAGAATCTTTGGTATCCAAGATCAAAAGAGACCTGAATGCAGCAATGGGTCAGTGGCCAGCAGGTGGGCCGCAACATAGCTGACTGCAGGCATAGGATGCACTCATCCTTGGCCAGGCTGCCAACAAAGCAAACCAAAAAGATGAGCATCACTTAGAGATCAAGGAGATGCATGTCTTCCTCTACAGAACCCACAGCATTCATGATTATAAGTCACATTTACATTTTGCTTGAACTCTATCCTTTTCTCACCCATAATGAGAATTTGTAAGCACCTACTTTGTATACTCAATTATATTTCAGAGCAAATACAATTTGCAGTCTTAAAATCCACTTAGAAAATTTTTCTGGAGAAAAAAACCCAACATATTTGTCTGTATTAGAGCAAAATAACAAAGTATTTTGAATTCTTTTAAAGCTTTAAGTAAAACGTCAACTACATTAACACCAGAATGTCAATTATCCCACCATTATAATAACAAAAAGCAGCTAAGTTTGCGGTTTGTTATTCAGCAAAATACACTGTTTGGCCACCACTGCCTTCAAACATACCACAAGAATGAGTTCAAAAGTCAAATGTTTAACTTAAACTAATCGCCAAAAAATCCTTTATCCCAAGGCTTGTCAAGAATGACTGGTGGAAACGCTCAATTTAACTACTTAGTATGCAATATTAATATTAAAGTCACAGAGTAAAATGCCAGGAATACAAGAGAAACTGCAAAAGTCAAGCTATCTAGCATTATTGAAATCCATCTAGAAAAGAGAAAAACATAATAAAAAATATGGATTGGCAAGCTATCAGAATTAAGCACCAAACTATCTAATACCACACTCAAAGTTAGCATTTTAGATCCTTTTCAGATTGATCACCATCTAAGAATGGAAGTACCTAACAGTAGAATTGACTGAAGATCCTTACGCGAAGACAACAAAACTGCTGATGCCTGTTCCATAAGGAAATTATTATATGAATACAGTAGCGACTCATCCAAAAGAAGTACCAATGCCCTGCTCTTAAAAAGAAAACAAAACCCAACAGCAAATAAAAAGGGCTAAGAGAAAATTGTAATTTTGCTCCAAAGTGAAGTCAGTCACCAAACCCATCTCTTTAGCCTCCTAATTAACATTCTGAAGTGATGCATCCTACCTAATACAAAGATCGCAAACCAGTGGCTGAGCAGACGAAACATGGCAAAAAGAAGTTTGCCTGTTTCAGCCAGGAGGGGAAAGAGAAAAGAGAATCGTTGAGGCTATTTGCACTGTTCACAACAGAAATATTTCCCAGTTTGCATCATGCCATACATGTTAGGAAACAACAATCACATTGCAAGAACAGAAAAGAGAACTCGTCCTGGATGCATGGAAAACAAGCTGTAGTTTACAGACTTGACGGCCTCCTACACTATTTTTTCCTATAAAATTTGCTCCTATATTAGATATGATTTTGGGAGGTAGTGGTATTACAGAGCACGCAAACTGAATCTGAATGTAATCTGAAATGGGAGCAGTTTACCCACCGGGAACAATGGCTGAACAAAAGCCACTCAGAGAACAGTTAGATAATGGAGTTAAAATGCCTGTAAACCACCATCATTTTGACTTCCATTGCTATGTATCCCTGCCAAAACTAAGCAAATAGAAAAAATGCTCCAAAAGAGAGAAAGATGTATTGTCATGTAGATAAAGACCATACAGATTGAGCACCCTTCTCTTTAAAGCCAGAAGAACAGCATGAGAAACAAATCTTGGAGATTAGCACACTAGTTTCAAAACAGAAGTATTCCTTTTAATGTGACCGTGTAACATAAAAGGCATCTAATTCCTATTTTCTTCCCTAGTACATCTATGGTACTTCTAAAAAGAAATAAAGATGAGATCAGTATTTGAGGAATGTTCTGAAAGGACATCAAATAGGTTAATCAGTGTACTGTATTTCTAACTATCCTATCCTCTGAACCATGCAGTTTGTAGCAATTTATATTGTCTGAATATCAAGTTGCATTTAAAATTGTTTAAAAAAAAAAAAATGCAGCACAGTGCCTTCATAGGTTTCTGCTCTTAACGGGCTAATTGACATTTTTCTTTTTTCTACCCAACTGAATCTCATTCAATGTTTACACACAGTGGGCGTGGGATTGGTCAAACCAAACAAAGCCAAAGAGGCTGCTGACAACCAAGTGAGCACGGACAAGCCACGACAATAGACTCGGAACCATTTCCAAGGGAAAAAGAAAACTTCGGCACAATGCTTTTTTGAGAGTGGTACTGCAATTCTCATTTGGGAGTGGAATCTTTTAAATCTGTAGAAAAGCTGATAAAAATATTAACCGGGTTTTCTGCTCTCCCAGCTGTTTCTTTTGAGTCCTAATATAAATAGCTGCTCTAACCAGACAGATAAGACTTGACTTTACACTCAGCTGTGGGGCAGAAAGGGAGAGGAACTACTGAAAGAACACCTTAAACAGGCACATATCTGGATAAAAACTGTTGAATTTGACTTCCAAGGCAATAAATAAGCACTTTTTGAAGCCCTCAGCACTGATGTCAGGAATAGACAGTACTGATCGAAGCCATGCAGACAGACAGCACATCTGTAGTACTGAAGCCCGCTAGGATGGCAATATCCGGAGAAGATCAAAAAAAGTTTAAAGTTGCTGCTGCAGTCAATATTGTGAACTATTTCGTGGGAAAACGCCTTACACCTACAAGTTAATCCTAGCAACAATGCTGTGAAGCTGTTTCCCAACGTGGACTTCTGAGATCACCCTTTAGCTCTGCATTTGGAAGGATGACCTCCTCCTCAGGGGCGTTGCCAACAAATTTTTTTGTATAAATGCTTGTATCAAGGTCCGAGGCTCCTCATGGAAATTCAGTCCAGGTCCTCATAGTGCAATCCCATGTCTTAACAGCATGAAAGTTCTCTGTCACCAGCATTTGCACCCCTGCTTCATATGGAAACTGTGCTCAGAAAGCAAAATCCTTCTGTCCCCATATTTTTTTGAAGTCACAAGTGACAGAGGTGGGGGGTGCAGACAGTAACAAATAATAATAAGTTACTATTGTAAAGACAAGAAAGTTGCACAATTATTTTTTTAAAACCAAGTTTGCTAAAAGTGAAAGATGCAGATTAGCTGCCACAGTAATTCAAGGGCTAGACAAAGCAGGCGGTCACCCTTCCACCTGAGCAGCCAGCGCAGCATACAGCCCCGAACCAGCTCAGCAGGTGGTGTTTGACTCTTCCCATTCAAAGGCTCCGTGAGGAACTGAGGGAACTATAGGATTGACTTACGAGCGAGGAGGAGAAAGCGTGGGAGACAAAAAGAGCTGTGGGAAAGGATCATAGAAAGAACATGCAGCTGATGCCTGGTGAGAGGGAGCTAGGCAAGTACACTGACATTACAGCAGCAAAAATAAGCAAGCAAGCAAAGAACACATCTGTTTCAATCGGTCTGAGACACAAAATGACACATTATACTTTTCAGTGGTCTTTCCGTCACTGTCAGAGTGACCTGCCTGATTTCCCATGCAGCATTCACCCAAAATCTTTACATTTTGATTATCAGATCCAAGACAGAGCTGGACATACTCCTCTCCCAGAAGACAAGGAAAACTAGGACTTCAGGATGGGAGCAT